TTTATGTGAAATTTAATTTATGTATTGTGTTATGTTTGTGCCTCTTATACTACTAGAGGTTTAATTGGATTGCGTTTGCTATTGTACAGAGTTGTGCTTGTATGAAATCCTGGTGTTTATTCATGAAATTACCAATTGATAGTACAGTATATGTGTTTTTTTTAAAACGCAACACTTTAGCCTGATGTGAAAACATATGTAACAGGGGACGTTTCGGGCAAATTACCCTTTGTAGCACGCAAATAGAGGGTCCAGCGAGATGGAGTGGATAATACGAATTGGAGACTCACTAAACACCATGGGGCCTGATCATAATAAAAATAATGGTAATGTGATATGATGACCAGACTTTAAATAGATATTTGCATAGTTTCAATACAGTAGGTATTAAGTAACAGACAACCCCTTTAAAATAAAATATGTATCAATAAACCCATTTCTATTAAAAGTATCATTATTTAACAAAATATGTTGTGTGGCAGGTCTGTATTCCTGACTATTTACCGTAAATTCATTGAGGGTACACATGATGACCGGTGTGATATTATTCCACATTGTGATCAAAGTACAATATAGTATTTTACTTTTAAGAAGAAGTAACACATTCATATATGCGATCTAAATACATTTGAAAGTGATCTTTATTAAATCTTAGACATCCTGTTAAATGTAACTCGTGTCTTGCGAATACATGAACATCTGCAAATGTGTAAATACAAAGTCATATATTTACAACACATGTTTATTTTATTTAAATGGTCTTGATAACAAAAATATTCGGTTTTTCCAAAGGCAATATTTAAACAACCAGATGTACAAATAGATATGAAGATCAGCAATCGTGTTGCAGTGCCACAAAATCTGGCATTAAGTTAAAAATTTTAGTAAGCAATGCTGGCTTTGTGGCGAGGCATTTTTGAAGGAGAATCATTAAAAGCGTAAATTACATAAGAGGCTTCGTTTCTTCAGGGCATTTATGCCCAATTGAGAACACTGAACTAGCACCAGTGAAATTCATGAATTGAATGTCCTATGTCTACCCAAGATGAAAGTCCACATACGTACTTGCCTTTGATGGTCTCACTCCAATGGTTGTGTGAAATACACCGTTACCATTGTAGTGTACAAAGCAATTGCAAATCCACGTGATGCAATTTTTGAGTTTTCCAAAATCTTTGTGGATCTGCTGATACAGACGGTTCCGAAATAGAAAATTATGGATTGTTCACGTGGATATCAGTATCATGACTGAGATATAGCTTGTTAAAGCGCAATAAGTATATTAAAGAGGACAGTGTAGTACTGAAACCGACATAATATGTGGGAAAAAAGAGAAGGTGAAAAGAGTTTCTGGGTTCGCAGTCCCAAGGCCTTTGCCTTGTCGGCCTTGGTTGTTAATGATCAGAATGAAGGTGCTAAGCGAAGGTAGTGTTCCTGGTGGGTGAGGATGGGAGTGGAACATTTTGCCACATGAGTAATTATGAATTGTCGTGATTCAAATTTAAATATAAGAATCCCATATTGAAGATTGCAGTTAACGTTAATGCTTCAAGTGGTTAAATGGGGGGCATGAACCATTTAAATCGAGCTTAAATAAATATGGTTTATTATGCACAGAATTTTATTAAAGTATTATGAGCATAACAATTGGCGTTAAACAATTAATTGTATTTTTCCACACATTGTGTATGGGGTAGGGCAGCCCGATGCTATTGTCAGGTTAGATAATTCTGCCAATCAAACCTATATTTTGATTTAAAGCTTTCGTGACTGCAGGGATTCATATTCTTGGTTCTTTCGGTAAAGTCGCGTAGAAGGGAAACAATAAAGTAATTTTTAAAAACGCCACTTTTTTCAAATTTTCTTGCTGTGGTTTTCACACCTGATGATGATTGCTTGTGTTGCAGTCGAAACGTCGTGATAATTTTATTGTTTTATATTTTTATTATTTTATTGTTTCCCTTCTACATGACTTTACCGAAAGAACCAAGAATATCAATCCTATATTCTCACAGTTTACCTGACAGAACACATCTCAGCAGCTCTAGGGTGGCCTTTCTGTTTGCGTTTCAGGGATGCCAGTCCAAAGTTAGTATTTACTCGGCAACGTTTGAGTGTTAGCCACGAAAATGAACTTGTTTAAAGAGTAAATCTGCAAGACAAGTTCAGATATTTTGGTTTCAAGAACAACATCATTTGAGGACAGTATATGAGGTATCTTATATCTATACACATTTTCCACATCATTAAATGAATTCGTTGCCATCATCATCGTCCTTCATTCTCTTCATCATATTCATGCATATCTGTAATCGTCATCTTCTTTCCGCGGCTTTGTCAATCGATACGCACCCTCATCGTCACCCACACCTCTATCTGGGAGGCTCAACCATGACACATGATGAGCTAATAGCTCGCCCCTCTGTTATCCTAGCCCACATTTACATAGCAATGCCCGCTAAATCACAAAGCCCTGCACACGCATTTAGTTGCTTCCCTTATGTATAACGTTGGCCCTGCTTTTTGGTCATAGGCAACACCTCCTCCTCTGCCAACCCCAACCACTACTCAGGTTAGCCCCGCCCTTTGTCCGTATACGAAATGGCACATGAGGTCAGACAATTTAAATCAGGACAGCATCCCAACAATACAAATATAGACCACCACATTACCTTAATCTTTATCAATCATTGACAGCTAATTGTTGAGAACATAACAAAAAATTTGAATACTTACATTGCACAGCTGAAATTATATATATAGAATTACATTAGGAACAGAAGACTTATCAAAATCCTTGTGAGTCAGATTATTGTTGGTATATTGTGTTAGTCTAACATGCAATGATTATATTTTTTGTTTCACGTTCTGCAAACAAAACAACGTTATACGTTGCTCATATGTTTTATTTATGTTTTCATCCTGCACATTCAGAACAAGCCCACAGTGTTTCCTGCGGGTGCCGGTACCATTATCACCTATTTACCAGGTTTTTTTTCTTGCGTGTGTTATTTTTTGCCACCCACGCGGGAGCATTGCTAGGTGTCGTAGTAAATCAAATTAGACACGCCAACCCTCAACGGGGCAGGAGAGATGCCTAGCCAGCAGTGCTTTTGCGTAGGAAATTTATGGGGTGGAATTATCGAAGCAGCATCGTTTATTTGACCATCGCATATGCGCCCTGTTGTGCATGGTGTAACACACATTGTCTGTAGATGTACACCAGCTTTTTCACGAATAGTTTTCCATTGTTAATCTCTTATTCACATACTTCTATTGTCAAGCATCCCCCCCTCCTCCCCCCGTTCAAAGGCGTTTTTCACTTTATTTATGTCCTGGTACCTTAATTGTACATGATGTAACCGTCACTTCATGTACACATTCACATTTCTGGCCTTTCCACATATCTACCGGTATCTCAGTCGCCAGCGAGTCTGGTGTGTGACGCACTCGAACCGAGCATGCAACGCTCTCGTCTTTTGAAGTTCGCTGGCAATGTGTGAGGGTCGGCTCAGGTGGGGGCTCAGTTGCCATGCCACCTACGAGGCACGCCGTTTGTCAAACGGAGTAACACCATCGACAGCAGTTGTTTTTGCACACTGCCCGAGGGCATAGTGACCCCAAATCCCCCCCCCCCCCCCTAATCTCTTTTGCAGGAAAGTAATAGTTATTATGGATACAGCAAAAACAGGGCAAAACATGTGTGACAACATTTTCAAGTAAAAAAAACGATTGTGCTAAATGAAAAATAAACTAAACGCAGCTTCAAAAGAAATGCACTGGGCATGGGGTGACATTGCCAGGAAGAACTTGTGGGTGTCCCTCACTCCGAATCAGTCGAGCGGCATTTTTTCATCGGTTGCATAATGGAAGCTACCTGGTTTCTCGCTACGCACGAAGCTCCAGGTCTTCTCGGCCACGGTCATTCCTTCTCTACGCTTGCGAAACGTGGACCCCCCTCATGGAACATTTTCGCCGGTTAGAAACATTTAGGCTGGCCTGCCTACGATCCATCCTGAGTTTAACTAGGCTGGATTGTGTGAGGAGCTCACAAATCCTTGAAAGATCTGGACAAAGTCCCATCGGTGAGCTCCTACGGCAGGCAAGGCTGCGTTGGCTGGGCCATGTAGCCCGCATGCCCAGCCACCGCATGCCTAAACAGCTTTTGTTCGGCCGGAACGAGGGGGCTAAACGGGCACGGCACGGGCTAGAGGAGAGATGGAGTGATGTGGTACAGGAGGATGTGGAGCTGAGTGGACTTGCCGATGACTGGTACCAGCGGTGTCAAGATCGGCCTCTGTGGAGGAGGCTCATGAAGGATGTTACTGGGCAGTTGGAGGCAGTCGGCCCTCCAACAACAATGGAGGGTGGAGGAGCGACGCTCACAACAACGAGCGGAGCGCCAGGTGGCTAAAGCATAGCAAGTTGGCACAGTAGGGGGCACAGGTGGTGTATCAGCCAATCATCTCAGTCAGTCGACCCATGGCACCTGGGTCTGCCCCGTGACCTCCTGTCAGTGGGCGTTCGACACTTCACGTGGCCTTAAAGTGCACATGGCCTGGCACAAGCGTCGTGGTGACGTCACCATGGCAAATGGCGGTTGTTGTTGTCTCTCTCTGTGTGTGTCTCCTGCTGCGCACTCTATCCCCCTATTGGCTGATATAACGTTATTACACTCGACCCTCGATCATCTCCGCGCCTTTCCTTCACCTTGTTCAGCTCTACCTTTCCTTCACCCTGTTCAGCGCTCTAGCCCCCTAGTGGCTGACATACCGTCAATAAACATTGACATGCTAATCTCTCACAATACAATGGCCACCTCCTTAGCACAAGCTCCAGCCCCCACCCTCTTGCCCGATGCGGCACCCACCCTCCCGCCTCTATATATAAGGACTTGTTTCAGCAGCCTGTTTCTCACTCCCACCTGAAGACGGTTGCTTGTGTAGCGATCGAAACGTCGTGATCTATTATTTTTCTACCTATGTGACTTTATCGAAAGAACCAAAGAGTATGGATTCCTGCAGTCACGAAAGCTTCAAATCAAGTATGAATCAGCTTGGGTAATTTGAAGATAGATATATGCAGCATTTTGTCAAATAAGTGAGTCTATGGGAAAATTCAACATTGTATGTATACAGATTGCAAAGCATTGATACATTTTTAGAGGCCATTGCATAGTTTGGTGGACTGTGCTGCCTCATCCACTAATCTGCAAACCTGGTATAGCACATCCAGATGATCATAATTTTGTCCTTTGTGGAATTGCCTATGTGAACGATGTTCCAAAAATGGCACTGCAACACATAGTGCTCTTTGCAAATATTTAAGCATCTATGTATGTATGTAGAACTTCTTTCGCACCATACGTATCCAACCATGCTAATCGGAGGTGCGGCTGCTGATTTGTTGATGGAGCTTAACGACGACTAAATGCATTCACCGTTAATACCTTGACAAAGTGGCACTGATAAAGCCTTCAAACATTATGAAATGCTACGCCAGGTTCCCCGTATGTGTATGTGCATCAAAAATAATGGCGTAAATTTTGAAAATAGCCAAATGTTCTTGCCATTCCCATGAATATATATCTACAGTTGTGTATCATGAGCTATGTACTGTCTACTGCTGAATTAAGAATTCCCCACAGTCACCAGTCCTGCAATGCCACAAATCATCTGGCACCAGCGCATAAGCTGATCTTTCCTTTGGCTACCACACCTTCACCAGCTTTGTCCATATTATATCATTTTTTCCAGTAATGCATCCTGCCCAAGACCACTTTATTTTCTGAAGAGTCAACATGATGTATTTAATTTGTGTATATTCTCTGATCCATGTATTCCTATTTATGTCATCACAAGCATACATCTCTGCATGTTTTGCAGACTTTCCAGCTGTTTCCATGTACGTTATCAGAGTCCATATTTTTAATTCGCTTTATGTACTATAAAAATTAAGATGAAAGTTTATACATAATTCTTCCACTAGTTTAGCCTTTGTATGCGTTCTATAGAAATGTATTGAGGCATACAAACAGGAGACATTACTTTTGTTGTATAGTAGAACCACGCAGAGACGGACTTTACTATAAGGGCTGTTACCGTTTATTAAACACTTACATTCAGCACTCAAGCTCACACCAGGGGTAGGTGCTCTCTATTCTAGGTCCTTACCCTGGACCCCCGAACACTATGTCGTCCTACCCTCGGCTATCCCTTGGGCTCTCTCACTCGGGCCGGGGGCTCATCCAACACTTCCTGGCAACGAGGAGAGAAGAACCCACTCTCTCTCAGCTGATCCTCACTGAATACTTGGAGCCGTACTCCCCTTGGCTCTCCCACTCGTCTGCCCTGGACGGGGGTTCAGCCAACACCGTCCGGCGACGAGCGGGAGAGACCTCCTGCAGCTGATCCTTACTCCGGGCTCCCAAAATGACCCCGCCCTCGTCACGGGGTCCCCATTAAGTACCCCTTGGGCGGTTCCTCCCCCTAACTCGGACCCGCCTTTGTTCCCGAAGGTACCCCCTTACAGCACCCGTGACATGACCAGGGGCGGAGCCAGGATGTCAGGCCGGGGTGACATTCAACAAATTTTAATTTCAAGAATGATAAGAGAGTCAGGCTGTTGAGCTAGACGCCATCGGTTGGCGACACACTCTGACAATGCAGTTGCACGGAGTCCGCCAGACCGAGTGTCGCACACTTATACGCAGAATGTCACCCCTGTCACCCCCCCCTGGCTCCGCCCCTGGACATGACGTCATCTTCCGCTGTCAACTCGCTTGCACTTCCCTCTATATGCCCTCATGGTTGCTCACATTACTCCTCTACATTTTTAAGGCATCCTGCACACTTACCATGACCGTTACATCAGAACTATACTATAGTTGCACTATAACCGCTTGAGTTCAGGAGGAATGGCATACATTTTATTTGAATACGGTGGCAAGTTTTTCCTCCGCATATAATAGTTCTAGTTGGTGAGGAAGTATACAACCTTGGACTATTGAGTCTTCACACTTGCGTGACTTCACGAATTCATATTCCTTGGTTCTTTCGGTAAAGTCATGTAGATAGACTTTACCGAAATAACCTAAGAATATGGAGTCCATTTAGCCTACTCAGAGTATAATTTCATATATTTAGGGTTAATGCATGACAAACTCATTCAAATATTTACACATCAAGCTGAATAAATATGGCCAAAATGCAGTCGTACTCAGTCATGGAGATAATTTGTTTTGTTTTATATCGTGTGCTCTTTTATACGAGCCAGCAAAATCAGGCCATGTCTTTGCATCAGATGAGGCAACATGTGGAGGAGGATAAAGGCCTCGCCACTGGCCCGCCCTGTGGAATCCACGGCAGCACTGAGAGCACCACACTCACAAGAGCAAGGGGTGTTGAGCCCACCAGACAAGACATCGACAGCCTGCCAACTAACACAGCTTTTCGCACCAAAGGTGAGTAGCGAGAGGCAGGTTGGTGTCTTTAGTATACAGTATCTGAAATACTGGAGCATTTAAAAAACAATGCTAATTTTATACAATTAAACCCAATGTGCAACCAATGTATATGTTATTATGATGAGGACCATTTTCTCCATAACATGTGTAGTGAGTTCTAATCAGGCGCACACCAAGACTGGGAGGCAACACGTTTTATTCTCTAACACAACCAACACTATTCAACGTTCCAAGGTTAACTATGTACATTCCTAGCGACTATGCACATTACAGGTTAACTACATAAGGTGGTGGCCACCGTTCCTAACCACCTAACCACTTGAACGGATTCTCAATATGGTTGAACCAGAACTGCCGACACGCCGTCGTGTCTTTGCGTACTTAAGAGCGAAGATCGGAGAAGACGACTTCTTCCCGGGTTGAACAGCCACGCTCCCTCTCGGGGCTCAGCTTATATCTCCTGTGGCGTGACCGAGCTCCACCACTGGTCACGCCCCCTTCTCGATCCTTCGCGAAGAGTCTGGGTCCACATCACGTGGCCCGCTCGCCCCCTTCTGGGGGCCCCCGTGCCCCCTCGTCCGGTCACGTGCTCTCGCGGGTTCACCCAGAGTGTCATGTCGTGACCCGACCTCCGTGACATCCGGAATCTTCCCTCTAGTGAGCCCTCGTGTATAGTAAACACACCATCGCCATAGAACGGCCCATTTATGTCGTTACACATGCACTCGTACTCACGAGGTGATGGTTTTCTGGCCAGAGTATGGTATACTTTCACTTACGATTCCAGTGCACTGCTGATTTAAATGCCTTTCCAATTTATAGTCGAGTTAAACTCCTTTTAGCTACAGCTAATATCCATGGAATCGGGTTGAACCATGATTATTTCTATTCACAAAGTGGCCCTTCTATTAACACAACTTAGAGGTAAATGTTGCGAATGGGCACTACATCTACCCTATTATCTGTGGAGCACAAGCGATGATTGTGGGAACTCTACATGAGTCGTGGGAGGGATGATGATGGTGACAATGATGGATGAAAATGATCATCAAGATGATGATGATGATTAATGTTGAATTGAATTTAATGATTTTGTCCAGACCCCCAACTTATGCAAGCATAGTATCATGATCATGTATCTCAACGTAAAGATTGATGAGTCCCAGTGTGAATACTAACGATTGTGAATTAACTTCTCAGAATATTGTCCAAAAACCACTTGGTCAAAGAAAAGAAACTACGCAAAAAGATCAAACACAAATGTTTATTGTTGACAAATATGTTATACGGTACAGCCGCTGGACACATTTCCATAGCAATCTGTGCCCATTCCACTACGATTATTATTTTTTTCCCCAGGAAAAAGGGAGATGCTACTTGAAAAGACTCTTCGTGACAGAATAAGGTACGGAAAGTGTAAAGATTAATATTGCATGGTATCATACCACATGCGTGTAACCCAGTACCATGGAGGCAGGATTTGTGGATCATGCTGATTTAATATGCATGAGACTCTCAACCTGCAGGGCTGTTAGGTGTTCAGTAAATGGCAGTATAGCAAGTAGGCTGTTAACCCTCATACGCTATGGTTTGCTGTTGTAAGTTTCTTATGACATGCAATATTTGAAAAAATGTGTCAGTTTTGCTTTATCTAAATATATCTGTGTAACCTTTTGTTTTCAAAACACGCTTACCGTGTGTTTACTTAAACAGGGTTTTTTTTTAATAGTGAAATTCAAGGTCTTGTAGCTATGACAGTGCATTGAATATATTATTAAAGCTGCCACATATTTATTTCTTGACATCCAGTACAAATATAATCTCCATCCTGATATTATACATGGCAGTCTATTACAGCATGACCTTTCAATATGTTATGATAAATAATCATATAATGCAGATGCAATTTCTGTTAATGGATTTGACCAATCTATAATTGTCATTTATCATTTTCAATGCTTCCTTTCTGGAACAAATATACAGTATAAACATATTGGGCTTTATCACATCTTAAAATTAAATATTAAACTTTCAATATAGACTTCGTAATACATATGAATTTTTATTGAATTCACCTCTAACATCAATATACTAAATCTATTATTTAGTGCACATTTGGGGGTAGGGCAGGAGGGAAAGTACAGTTTAGTACAAAAAGGCTAATTGAAAGATATTTGGTCCATGTGGCTTTTTGGTATCTCTGTCTCAACAAGTTTTTCACTGCCCTGATACAGAAACTATGCCAATTAAGGTGGAACAATTATGCAATCGGTAATTTATTAATCAGTTCGAGTTTAAATTACTAACAAAAGTGGGTGAACACAAACCACTGCTGACAATAGTAAAGGAGAAGAGACATGTGACACGAAAGGGGGAACGATCAAACATTATCTCACAGGGCAGGGGAGAAGGAAAAAAAGTGGATGACCCCAGATCAACTGTATGACAAATGTGATATCATGGACTGACAAGCCGCCACAACACCTAACAAAGACCGCAAAGGACAGGCAACTGTTAACAGAGATGACAGCCCAGGCATCGGTGGTGCCCTCACGACCATTGTGGTTAAGAGAGAGGTGAAGGATGAACAGGTGTTGTGGGTAACACTTGGAAAGGAACGAGGCCACAATATCATCACTGTTTCCCTTTGCTCAATATTGTATCGAAAAGTCACTTTACATATTCTGTATTACCACATCACCACACGATTTGCTTAGCAGCAACTAGTTTTACAACGTATTTCATCAGGGATATTTGTGACAGATAGATATACTGGTGTCTAATAAGTGCTTTATAGAGTGCACAATAATCATTTTTGTCAAATGCTGGTTCTGTATGATTTAATGAGCAGCAAGGAGGTGCTGGAGAAGTCAAGTCCAATTCCTCCACCCAAGCAATATTCAACATCAAAGCAAGCTTTCTTTCATTACACCTTAAAACCAGAGCCCCCTGTGCCCAATAAGGTAGGCCAGAGGCTTGACCACTTGTGATTAACAGTTAAGTTTGACATATCGTCTGCAACTGCAAAACGTATTTTTTATGTATTTTCTGAGTTTATTATTACTACTACATCTACAGAAACTAAAATCCATTTGACTCAGAAATGAGTCAGTGCTTTCTTTCATTCTATTTTGCATTTTCCTTAGCCGATAGCAAATTTACATTCAATTAATACTTCTCTTGCTGTTTGCAGGCACATGATTATCACACAGAGCAGCCAATCACCTATTGGTCCAATAATGTTAACAACATACAGGTGAGAGCCTACACTGTTTTTCCGATCTAAAGAGATAAACCGTGAGTTTTGATTTTACATCCAATTCTGTATTTGGACATTGAAATGAGTAATCTTCATTTTGTTATTCAGAAGATACAATGTATGAACCGACAATGCATTTTGTCCTTTGTTTTAATATCTGTGCTGCTGCATAAGAGACTAATGCCATCAAGAATGGAAGAACAAATGTTACTGGAAAAAAGTATACATTCCATGGTGCCCAAAGTTATTGAACGCTTTCGAAACGTGTTTCATATTATTGTATAATAGAAAATACCACAGCACATTTTGCAATTGGAACTGTTGCAATAGCATACATATAACATTGATTATAAACAATAAATGTAAAAATACAATCATTTTTCGAGTTATACTTCATATTACTTCAATCTCATACGAATAATGTGACTTCATGAACGAGCAATTCGCAGGTAACTACGTCGCTGTGCTGCACTGGAGAGTTAGTCGATGAGCGATTGTGAAACGATGGGGAAGGCTGACAAGAGATTTTGTTGAGGAAGAGTTTTGTACAGTTGTTTTCGATCATGCACAGTAACATTTTTACCGTCATCATCATCATCAGTACCACCTTTATGCTTATCGTAAATTGTACTACCATTTAATTCCATCTTGATTTTATGAGGGCAAGAACGCTTCATTTCCCCAGTGTCTTATTTTGAATCCTCACAAAGGCTTGTCTTCCACCTCTACAGAATTGGGTTTTTACTGTTATATACATGGTCATCTCATTTCCCACAATCGCATATGCATTTTCAGTTGTACGTAATGTGATTTCAATTTGTATTTCTTCACCTCGTATTTAAAAAAAAGTTTTAATAGATATATAAAGGTTGAACATGTTTTATTGGCTACACTCCCAACTGTTTGAGCCGTGTGTTGGCAGTAAGGCAGTTACCACATATTTTCAATGGAAATAGCAAAGGATGCAAAATATAAGACTAATTTTCTATTGGCAAAAACTACGGTAATTTTACATAAACGCATTAATTAAAACCATTATTTTTCGCTGGCATCATCTCCATAATATTGTTTGTCCTGGCCATATATGTAATGTTTTGGTAATGATAACAATCTAAATAAACAGCATTCATACGGAGTACATCTCTACAGCAGATGTGAAATTACCCACGTAATGGTTTTATGTCCACAAAAAATATATGATTGTTTGTCTGCAAGATTATCTTGATATTGTTTGATGTTTATTGTACTATAGCCATAAGAAAATATGCACAATTTTAATTCAAAGTTGCAAGAAAGTATTCCATATTGTAATACCACTCACATATGTAACTATAGATGTGTTAGGAAACACTCCTTAATAAAGATATTTTAATGTCCTCTATTATATACAGTACTTGGATTCTTTATAATGTGCATTTTATTTTATTTTAGGGAGTAACAGACATCAAGTCAAGAGAGAAACCCTTTCTCAAGAACACCACTTTTAGCAAACCAATCAGCGAGCGCCTGGACACACCATTTTAATGAAGCAATTTTAATATTTAACCCATAAAAAGTGGACGCCAGTGAATTTCATTTTATTACAGGATACAGAATAATATATACCAAGGATACAATAATTCACATACCTTTTACCTTTAGACTGCACATATTTTATGCCCGCCAAACAAAATTGTAATACTAAATGTGTGCGAAATGAAACTGTAAATCATATCAAATCCATCGTATTAAAATTCCAAGTGTTTTTGTTACATTTTGTTTTTATATTCATCACGTGTTGCTAAACACAGTATTGCTACAAAGTTACATGTTGTTGTGGTGTTCATGTCAATATAAATTCAATAAACATATCACATTTAGAATGTTTCACATTTTAACAAAATAGTTTAAAGTGTTATTTACAATATGAACAATAGAATGCATTCCCATTGGAGTCCAGGCTACATTTTCAGGGTTAATTTCATGATTTATCATGGTATCTTCCAAACATCCATAGTGAATGTAGGTATGCAAATGATTTGAAAATATCCCGTTACATATACAAAAGTGCAATAAATACAGTACTAATAAACAGAAACAATTCCATCTGCTCTTCAAGGAAGGTTACAATCAAAATAATTCAAGTGATCAAATATAATAAAATATTTACATCTTGGTTGAATCATTTGTTATGCTTCTGGATTCTCCTCAATTTCTCCCAGAAGCCAGTATGTCCTCATTTTCCCCTTTCCCTGCAAACAACGACAGTTACGAGGAAGAGAGGGAAAGCGTTCCCAAGTGGTGAATGTGTAGCAGGCAACACAATTACAATAAGCAGTTATCATTTACAAACGTAAATGCAGCACAATGAGCTCCTCTTATCTGTAATGATATGGGAGGGACCCTATAGCAGTTATACAAAGCTATGGATAAATAAAGATGCCATCTCAACCAGGTAACAGCTTGTTAAGACCAGGAGGCTCTATTTTTTTTTTTAAAAGCTCCTATCAGAGATTTAGGAGATACAAAAAATAAACAGCCATTTGTCAATCCACTGCTGGATTAAATCCTACACATGCTGTCTCAGTCATGGTGATTGTTTGACTGAGCATTACCACGCTGATTAGTGTAGGTTTTAGTTGAAGTGGAGCCCAGGACCAGTTCAGATATTATTCCCCACCGATGTTTATTCTGGCCAGTAATCAAATCTAGGTCACTGCGTTTATAGTACAGTGTGCTAACCACTGCACCACTGCTCCATCCCATTTCGTGAAGCTTTTATGAACGTATCTAAACATTGTATTTTGCAATTGACAGCCAAACAATGGTTAGGTTGTCACTAACACCTATCCGAACATTATCATTTGTATGCACATCTGATGCACATATTTATTTATTGAGAGCAAAGTGTAATACTTCACCTGTTATGAAATTCATACAACACATTTAGTACAAAATTCCTCTCCATTTAATAACATCTTCACATTATTCATTGTTATGACAATGCCTCTCTGTATTCTTTCTATTATCCATGAAAAATAGATCGCAGGAATAATTACTCTGCAAATAATCGGATTATTTGTGGGTCAGTACAATCTTAGGGATAATAGGCATCAAAGACATGATGGAAGCACAAACATGAGTCTAAATTTTTATTGTTTTCAAAACAAAGTCAGGCAGAACACAGCTATAAATAGGAATTTTGCTTAATGGATTTTAAATTGCCTTTGTACATGTGCAAATTCAGCCCTTCGGTCAATTTATTGCTGTGATAGATTATGAATCAAGCAATTCGAAAATACGTATTTTATTTATTATATGTACATAAGCACATGAGTAATAAACAGTCGTTTTCATTACAAGCTTATGAATGGCATTGGGATAATCAAGACTATATTAATTAACCAATTTGGAGCTAATTTGGAATATATATGTATAAAGCCATCACATTACATTCATGAGACCCTATATTTAAATACTATTACTCATGAAAGATTGGAATGTATGCACATGTATGAATATTTAAGAAATTATTGTTAAAATATGCAACAGTAAATAACAGTAAAATATAATTTCAAAGTGCAGAATGAATGCAGTTGCAAAAGAAAAGGCTCTTTGTATACCTTCATTTCCACATCACCACGCAACTCCAGCCTGAAACAGCCAAACTCATCCAAAACTTCCTTTGTAGTTTGTGAAACGTGAATTTTTAAAGCTGAAAAATACAAGAGTGGAGATTATTATTATTTACAAACGCGAGCAGCATCCCCCATCAATGTTTCAAGTTTATTTGACTTAACCAGGTGAGAAATCTAGAGACCAGGACAGCCTCATTTGCAAGAGTGACCTCGGGCATTCGTCTTACAGTGGGGGGCAATGATTGCTTTGTATAATCCAAATTGAGTAATTTTGTGGCAATTATCAAATTTGACAAATATGAACCTGATGCCAGCACACAATGGTCTACTCGTGTGAATGACGTCAGGGGTCTTTAACGTCCACTGTGAATTAGCCTGCATATTATGTCTTTTTTCACCCGCAGTAATAATCAGGGCAGCCACTTGATTTCAGCTGTGAACCTCTGCAACAAGCAGTGACACACTACCACTAGCCCATGTCACCGCCCTTTATGTGATGAATAGGACAGTCAGACAATTCTTAGGATGTGCTAATTACTTGGTTTAAGGACAGCTCACAATGATTGGGGACTTCTCTCTGTAGCAGTTCAATTTCAGATTGTTATCATCATATCTACTACTGATGTAATTGTGAGGGGAGAGAGCGAGATATTAAAATTGGAGGATTGGAAAGTCTATGGCCTGGGATTGAAAGCAATTACTGACCTTCATTAAACTGTCATTTTTTTCTACATAGTCCCCGTTGACATCCAATGTAATTGATCCATTGACATCCCAAGGTTTTAATCTCCACACAGAACAACTCTCTGTCTCACCCCCTCAACCATGCATTGACATTACACGACTTCACTCTCACGAGCATTGCAGGAGCTACTCCTGACCAATTAGGTCAGGAGTAGCTCCTTGTCTCACCTGACCAATTAGGTCAGGAGTAACGACCAATTAAAATGCATCGTGCAATGTCCCAGCTTGTCTCACCTTTTTTACTGCATTGCACAATTTTTAAAGTATGTATAATACTACCCTGTGATTATTCCAACATGCTGCAAATAGTTTGACTCAAACTGCATCATTAAAAGTTGAGTTCAATGCGTTTACAGCAGAGGCTTACACTCTGAAAAGGCAATGCCTAACTATGCCAAACTGGTTCATTTCTGGTTGACAGATTACATTCTAAACGCCCCATCTTACAGACACCTTGTGTATCCTCAAATTGTCAGCTTGTATGGTATCATATAAAAGGTCAAGATTCTCAGAAATCTTTACAATTGTCAAACAGTTGTTCACAAGGGGATCATGAACTGTATTGACATTTGAGTTGCTCAAGTTGGAAGATGCCCAGGCTGTGGATCGATCATCTTAACGAGCCTCTTTCAACACTAAATTTGTGTACCCCTCTCTTAACCATAGAACACGATGGAACAGATTCACATAATGCATGTCCCATATCAGTAATGGATTTCAGGCAGGGTCATGTCCTTTTAAATATATTTTATGGCTGCTTTCAGCTCAGAATTCCACATTTTTCAGTTCTCACAAAATGTGATTTCCGATGTTGTAATTCTCTCATAAATAGTATAATTTTAGGTGAACACTCACCCTTTATTGTAGAAAATACTTGTATGTCAGGCCACAGACTTCAATCACACCTGGTAACTGCCTTGTTGCTTTATCGTCATGAAATTTAAATAGACCACCCTTTCAACCTCAGGGTCTGTACCTAACACATGTATGCCAAATAGGAGAAGCAAGCTATAGGACTATCCACAGTGGAAATGTGAAATTCACATACCTCAGTGGGGATGAGTATGGCTACATCACATTGGAATCATGACCTCTCAACCTGGTGTTTTTATTTGATACAGTTTCAGAAAAATGTGTTACACTTAACTGAAATCTATCTTGCTGTGGTCAATAAGCACACTGTAAACTTTAATCAGGTCCTTTACACAAACATTGTTGTAATTTTAACATCTTTCAGACAATAAAGCTGCGCGTAGCAATCACATACCTTCACCATTGGACTCCATGCGCGAAGCAGTGTTTACGGTGTCACCAAACAAACAGAAGCGCGGCATTTTGAGTCCTACCACACCGGCACAGACTGGACCTAAAACACAACGACATGACTAACATTACACTGCTCATTTTGGAGGCTATGTATTGTCTGTGAAGCCAATTGTTATTTGGCAATGTCAGAGGAGACATTTGCACCCTGTAAATTGTTCGCAGAAGTGATGAAATGTAAATTGTACTGTAAACATATGCGTAACGTCAGGTGGACACATAATGCCATGCACATATATTAATGTACTGTAATTTAAGCAATGCAAAACGTATGATTGTCTCAGCAATACACAAACAAATCAAGTGATGCAAAGTGTCACTTTTGTCATTAACTTAAAAAAAAACTCTTCAATATGTTTAAAATATATATATTTTTGTAAATGACAAATTATGTTGAATTTGATTTCACAATACTTGCGTACAACATCCTTATATTGAACACTGTTGACATACTCAAAAAAGCTCTCGGTAAAATATGCTTATATTCTTAGTTTTTTCGGTAAAGTCACGTTGAAGAGAAACAACAAAATAATAAAATATATATAAAACAATAAAAATTCTCACGACGTTTCGACCATAACTCAAACGGTCGTCTTCAGGTGTGTTGGTTCGCATAAATTTATTTTTAAACGGCGCATTTATTTATTTATTAAAACATTTTATGCAAACCAACACACCTGAAGACGACCGTTTGAGTTATGGTCGAAACGTCGTGAGAATTTTTTTATTGTTTTATATATATTTTATTATTTTGTTGTTTCTCTTCAACGTGACTTTACCGAAAAAAAACTAAGAATATGAATTACTGCAGTCACGAAAGCTTTAAATCAAAATTTAAAATATGCTTAGTTTACCATGAAATAGACTGTCTAATGCCTTTTTTCTGAAGCCTGTTGGCCAAGTGACTGACCAGTAATTTTGAGTGAGAGAGCCTTACCATATAAATTTTACTTCTGCATAAACCAATCTAATGCAGCACCAACTTTAGTTTTTTTATCACCATTACTCACACATGTAAATACCCCATGGCCTAGCTGTTGTCACCTCCCCTTTAACACTGGTAGGTATTTAACAAATTTCATTACATTGTATAAATCATAAATCTGGCTGTCGCCTGATGAAGCTAGTTGTAATTACTGGCGAAACGTCATACTCAGTTTGTAAATGTTGTGGATTGTCTCTCCAACACACTGGTGTGCTGTACTAGTGACGAATTGGCACGTTCTGTTTACGTGACAAACCTTACTAATTGGCTGTGTCGGGTGGTGGCGTGTTTAATGATGCATTTATATTTACGCGATCTAACCCAAAAATATATATATTATGGAAAGATCCAGGTTCGTTTCAACACAGTACACAAAATCAGTGATTTGATCCCATCTGTAAAGGATGTGATTCCTGACAAGCAATTTCCTGGTGTCTACAAACTAAGTTGTGGCTGTGGCAGTAGTTACATTGGGGAAACGAAACGACATGTCTCGGACCGTGTTCGCGAACACAAGGCAGATCTGAAGCACGGTAGGACCAATACCTCTGCCGTTGCGGATCATTGTTTTAATGCTGTGGGCACACACGAAAATTATTTTTCCAAGACAAAGGTACTCTGAAAACCCACTGGTTATCATCAGAGATTTGTTCATGAAGCCATCCAGATATATAAACACAGACACAATTTCAACTGAGAAGATGGGTACAAATTGAGCAATCATTGGAAGGACGTGATTAACCAGGTACAGTGTTAACCTGCTGTGATGTTTCCATCCTTCCTGCGATTTTAGCTGACTCTCTGAGTTGCATGATTAGGTTGGATGTCTTTGTATTGACGGGCTGGATGTTCTTCTCGCTCAGTCACGGATGCTGTGACATACTAGGCAAGTCACCGATGCTGCAGTATACGAAGCTCATTCATATGCTAATCTCTCACAATACAATAGCCACTTGCACAGCCTCAGGCAGACCATCTCTAGCCCCGCCCTCTTACCCTGAGGCTGCACCCATCTCAAGCCTACATAAGACCTTGTTTCAGTAGCGTTCTCTCTCTCTCACCTGAAGACGGTCGCTTGTGTTGTGATCTCAACGTTGTGACCTATTAATAATGTTCTATCTACGTGACTTTATCGAAAGAACCAAAGAGTATAGACTCCTGCAGTCACGAAAGCTTCAAATCAAGATTGAAACCTTTAAGAGTCGTAATCACAGCCATTTATCCGATGCTGTGTGGACCGCCTAATTATATCCGACTAAAAACCATTGCCACAACTTATGATTGATACGATTATTGAACTGCGATTGTAATGAAAAATGTCTTTGTGGTCTACCTGTGTGAATGCCTATCCGCAGTTTGAGCTTGTCTTCTTGTCTGTGCCGTATTTTAAATGTTTTCACGGCATCTAGAAGTGCCAGGGACATGCGGGCGATCTCTTTGGCGTTGAGCTTCCCATTCCGCACGGGCAGCCCCGACACCACCATATAGGCATCTCCTATTGTCTCCACCTGCAGGAGATGCCACAAACACGATGCCACAAACATGTCACCAAAGTGGATTAAAGATGTCGTCATAAAATTCTCGGAAGAGAGGCAAAACTGGGAACCAAGGAAAAATGAAGCACTGAGATTTGCAGAGGGTGAAGTCATCAATATGCTGATCTTGCCAAAGCTATGGTACTGGAAGGAAATGCACATATGCAGTAGAAGTCTGTGTGAGCCCTGTGTGAAAGCTGTGAAATGGCAACCGAAGCATTTAGAAATTCTTCATTTGAATCTTTCCATATTATAATAAATACAGTTGCATGAAATAGCGCTCTTGAAAATGCATTAAAGAAGAAACTTGATTAGCAATTTTGTGGGGAGATTATTAAATAATGTTATTTATCTTCTGATCATATTTTATACATATATAATTCCACTAAAACATTTACAAAGCATGTACTGGATATGCAAGGCAATGTTATCAATCTTTATTTTGCTTTCCCCAATGCTTTATTGCTAAGTGTAATGATCACATTTTTGTTGTTGTTTAACAATTATGTGAGCTCTTTAAGTAAATTCCAATATTTATACAACAATGCTTTTGGTCACCGCAATATACTATTATATGGTATTATACATGTATTATATTGAAAAAGTGTTAATATTTAATACTTTTAAAATACAACGTTATGTTATAATATGAATGTATTATGACATACATGAATGCCTTAATGTGAACGCCAATGCACGTACGGTTGCTTAGTCCTAAGTCTAAATAGTTTCTTATATGGTTGAAAAATAGAGGATGCCATGCATGTGTAGTGATGCATGGCATCCTCTATTTTTCAACCACATAAGAACTGTACAATGACATCCCGCGATGTCACTACACATATATATGTTGTGAGTCCAACTGAGTTGCAGACATTATCTTGGGAGCAACACTATTTATTCACATAACAGTACGTAACATAACACAACCTACTCTTGGGTCTCGAATGCCCATCTGGAGAGGCACCACTATGGTGTGGGTGTAGTACGGGCCCTAGAGGGGCTCAGTGAGCGCTGGTTGACAGCACTAGGTAGCACCACGCTTGGCGTGCAGTGCCAGCCCTACAGGATAGGGTGTGGGAGTGCCGGCTGTAGGAATGAGGTTACTAAAGGCCATGACACTCTGGTTGACCCAAGAGGACACGTGACCAGTTAAGTCGACAAAGAGGCCGCAAGTGGGGGCTAGGGGTGGTCATGTGGTCTGGGGCCAGATCCAGCTCGAGGATTCTGGAAGGTGGTCGTGGCCAGGGGCGGAGCCAGCCACGCCACAGAGGATATAAGCCGGGTCCCCCAGAGGGGCCGGCGTTGTTGTTGATCCTGAAGAAACCTTCGTCTACGTGCTACGTCCTACCGAGTCTCCAACACGTGGACCTGGACCCGAGCTGTGGTCCCGGTCCGTAGTAGCTAGTTACGTTGTAATTAGTGTAGTTAGCCTGGTGGTCACCACCATAGGTTGTTATTCTGTTAAGGGGCAGTTACCCCATGTGTTGGTGTTAAATAAATGTGTTGCCTCCAAGAGTACGTCTGCGACTCAGTTGAACTCACTACATATGTATGAAAAATGAGAAGAGTTTTTAGCCTTTCTGGCAATAAAAACAGGGTTTAAGATGTTCAAACACCAAATAGATACATTTTGCAAGGAATAAAGGCAAACATGCAAACAAACAAATGCTGATAATTATATATGCATTGACTTTGAAACTGATTGGCTTACACCGGAGACAACGTTCTTTATGGCCTTGTCTCACCAGTGCCAGACCAGAGAATGCCAAAAGGTATGTATGTCGAACTTCTTTCGCACCTTACATAACCAACCATGCTAATTGAAGGTGCGGGGGAATGTGTGTGTATGTATGCAATCCTGTGTGTACAAAGTATTTGGTTCTGTGTGCATCAATCATGGTTTACACAGCATTTACCTTGTATACATCAAAGTTATCGATGATGGCATCAAAGCATGTGTATAGATCATTCAGCAGAGTGACCACCTGCAAAAGAGAAATAATTTAGTGACCAATAACGACAGAAAATAAAATATGCTTCCACCCCATTGTACACAGGCATACAAGACACTCATTGCTCAATTGAAAAGAGGTAATGCAGTAGTGTTTCCTTTAGCACAGAGAGCGATGACACTAAAAAGCGCATTTTTAAGTGAATTAAGATAATTATATTGTTATTGTTGTGTAGAAAGCAATATCAGTACCTTTTAATGGATATGTTTATTACAGTCACTAACACATGATTTGGTTAAAAGCAATACTTTGCTATTAAAATGCTGGTTATTTATTTTACAGCAACTGTAGAAAGTATTAGTAAATACAGTTACTGGGGGAAATGCATTATGATAGTTTAACACGTAGGCTTTCGCGACCAATATTATTCATAATAAAGTTTTTTGAGGTAGATCCCGTGAGTATGAATGTGTCGTACCCCGTGTCACGTAAAAATGCACAAATTATTTACTACTTCAGCTCACAGGTGTGTTTGAGAGTAAAACCACAACATTTACAATTTGAATGCTCTATTTAAGACCGAAAGCTGGTGGATGGCTTCACTATTCTGGCAAATCGCCCGATGATGCTGGATATAATTACTAGAGAAACGTCGTATTCAGATTGCAAATGTTGTGGTTTTACACTCTAACACACTAGTGGACTAAATTAGTAACTGATTGGCGCGTTGTTTACGTGACAAACCTTCCTTATACTTACGCGATCTAACCCAAAAACCTTTATGCATTAAATTAATCAAAGTTCTTTGGGTCGTTCGGTAAAGTCACGTAGATAGGTACAAATTAATAAAGATATAAAATAAAATAATAATTAAGATGTTTTGATCGTCATCAGGAGGAAAGAGGGGGAAAGCTGAGGAATGCAGACTGTTTTATAGGTTTAAAATGGGTGACCCTAGGACTACACCATTTTAAACCTATAAAACAGTCTGCATTCAGCAGCTTTCCCCCTCTTTCCTCCTGATGACGATCGCTTGTGTAGTGATCGAAAAGTCATAGTTTTTGGTTAATTTTACTTTTTGTTATTTTTGTAGTGGGTTCGATTGAGGCGCACACTCAACTTGGAGACAACACTATTTATTAACGCATAACAACCAACGTGAACACTATATATAAGGTGGTGACCATCATTCCTAATCTCACTAACACTCGGGGAATACTACACAGCATGACCAAGGCAGGTGACAGGTTGCCTGGTCACGAACGACGATCGGAGACTCGAGGACCGCTGATGGCGTCTTCATCCCAAGGTTGAACAGCCCCGCTCTCTGTTCACGCCCCGCTTAAAACCGCTGCGGCGTGGCCGGCTCCGCCCCAAGCCACGCCCCCCTTTCTCGATCCTTCGAGAAGGTCCAGGCCCCCAACCACGTGACCCCCAAGCTCCCCCCTGGGGCCCCTAATCCCCCTTTATCCGGTCACGTGTCCTGTTGGGTTCACGCAGAGTGTCACGGCCTGACACGACCCCCGTGACACCTGCCTACAGCACCCATACCGAGCCAACACAGTAGTGACGTCATGTGTCCCTACGCTCGTACAGTCCCGACACGGTAGTGATGTCGTATGTCACTACATTTTTATTAATTTGTACCTATCTACATGACTTTACCGAAAGTCCCAAAAAATATGAATTCCTGCAGTCAAGAAAAGCTTTAAGTCAAGATATAATCAAAGTTGTTTAGGGAATGGATCAATTGCCAAATAACTGGAAAAAGGACATCATACGATGCAGAGAATTTAGAGAAAAAAGCGGTCGTGGTAAAACATCTTTCCTATGAGGCAGAGAATACAGAAGAGTGGGGTAAATAAGGTTATATGAATTCAGTATTTTGATGTTTAGCAAGCAAATCATTTTGGTTGAATTGAAATGCTACGATAACATCGAGCATCAGTAACCTTTAAGGGTAAGATATGTTGACCTGCTTAACAACTATTTTGAGGTCAGGACTTTGATCATGGATGTGCTTGACTATGATTTTCCTAAATTCAAGGTGGATTTTAGTGATGATAAAATATCCAGGAATGAAAATGGGTAATTTTCCACCAGAGAATTTGATTATGTACATGATGAAGATTTTTTTTACAAGCACTTTGGTTGGGGATTCGTGGGTACACCTTTCAAAAACACAACAACAAAAACCTCAATAATGAGGTTGAGTTATTTTGGTTAATTGTGCTTGCGCACCACCGCCAACGTTGCATCACCAAATAGTAGTTTCATTTTCAAAAAGTAGGTTACTGGCAGTGGTTGTATGTTGAACTTCTTTCGCACCGTACGTAGCCAACCGTGCTAATCAGAGGTAGTTACAGATTTCGTTCATACAACTTTATCACGTGTGACATCAGGAAGTTAACATTTTATAGTAAGTCATATTGTGAATTGATCATAATTGAATATTGTAACGTGCACAGTATTCGTTCATTCTCAAAAAGAGAGAATGACTCAGAGCAACGAGGAACCATAGGACAAGCAGGAAAGGGAGCCAAGCAGTGAGCTAGGGCTAAATTCATCCCCGAGCTCTGTGATCCTCTATATATTAAAATGCTATTGGCCAACGAATGATTGTTTATATATGGGAGGAAACTGGAATACCCAGAGTAAACCTACGCATGTGAGGGGGCAATACTTTATCCCATGCAGACAGCACAGGTGGAGTCCACATTTGCTGTAGAGCCTTCTCCTGCCAAGCCAGGGTATGGCACCTCGATTCCCACGGGAAGGGTGTTTTACAACATTTCTGAGCCGTTAACCCTCACCTCCACAGTGCTGGATTATAGGCATGTGCCACGGCCAGAAGGAGTGTAAGAGAAATAGCATTTACATGGTAGAATTGTAATTTATAAACAAAAATAAATACGTTTTAAAGAGTGATTATCGTTGATGTAAAATTTGGGTGTTTAAGAGAGTAGAAATATCGGTATTGCCTGATAAAAAATGTAATACACAAACGAAAATGGATTCCTCTGTAAATTGAATAGAGATGTGCGCAAGTGTTTAATGGATTACCATGGCAATAGCGGATGAACATTTTGGAATTTTAAAGGATTAAACATGGCAGGAAAGTACTATATGGTAGAAATAATCAGGTATATATGTTTAGATGGGCGGAGCACGTGTGCTGGATTTGCGGAAGGCAGGCTACTTAGACAACATTAACTTGGACACTCACGGGTTAGCAACTCAAAGGGAAGACGAAAGCCAGGTGGTGGTTTGTTTTTAGAGTAGTCCTTGGGGGAGGGTTGTTGAATTTGCAACAACGGTGGGTTTGGGATCCAGCAATATGAAAGCAGCGATGGTGAGGTGTGGCAGCACTAACGGCATTAGCTTCAAATATTACGTGATTATTAGGGGGAGGGAGAATAAATATATCTATGTGATATAATGCTATAATTAAAGTGCCTTCCTACTCAAGCAAGCGATGGAGCAGCACTTGCCTATGTTGACAGCCCTTAGCTAGAGGTGAAAATTCCACATTTCTGTGGCAGGTGCCAGGCTATCCAAATTACAACTACTGTTGACTTCCCATAAAGTGGCAAGCATTTGTATCTACACTTGATAAATAATGGACTAAGTCGACTGCCAACAGGGATTTGACTTTCTGATTGTTACTCTGGGGCTACAACTGCAACACCACCCGGCCACATGATGATATATTGTGGTCGTATATTACATTATAAATACGACGCCACAATCACATGACGAACATTAATCTCCACGCACACGGTGTACGCTTTATATTTTTTAGGAATTTATGTTAATTGTGAATGACTTTCAGAAAGATGATATACTAGCAAAGACGACGCATCAAAGAAAGGGTTGCCGTTGCTGCTGACAGCCCATTTACAGGGGTTGCACTATGGAGCAGGGGACTTGTCAGTTGCCCTCATTTTCCATTAGCACGTGCTTCCTGTGATGCATACAAACTCTAAATGTATCAACAAATATGAGAAAGTGGCAGAACTGATGTAATAAAAACGCGGGCAATTGAAGCAGACAGCAAAGGACAGAGCCACTTCACTTACGCATGTCGCTACAGTGCCATGCTGTGTCGTGAACAGGCTCAGAGTGCTTGGTTGCTCACCAAAACGTATCTCAATCTAAAGACTTAAAATCTATGAGGAATATGAATATAACCAAAATGGGTTTCACTGTAGCTTTTTTGAGACGCAGTGTGGTAGAAATAATGCAATAAAAATGTGAAATAAAACAGTGATGTGTCACACATTGCATACATTTTTAATTATTCCTTGTATTTTGTTATTTTCACTAACAAGGTATGAACGAAAATGCCATTGAGCATGACTGGCTAAACAAAAACGTACCCGTTTAACTCCTGGTTGTGTGATTTAGCTTCGTTACAGGAAAGTGGTATATGCCAACCAAAATATTGTTGAGAAGCGTTTTTGAGCAAAGCACTCTGAAGATGGAAGCTAATCCTTCGTTCTGCTCGAGAGTGCAGTTCCCTTAAATGTTTACCATCACAATTTCTGAGACAGTATAACTTTGCTTAATAGTGCATTCCAACTGTGGAAGCTTGATAAATAAAAACAAGACAAATACTGTGCAACCAAACTGAGGTGTGTACGTTGAACTTCGTTCGCACCGTGCGCAGCCAACCGTGCTAATCGGAGGTGCGGGGGAAAGGACAACAAACTGCTCAATAGAAATGAGTAAAAGAAAACACATCTGAGCTTATAACATACACAATAACTCATTAGTTACTTAAAACAGTGGTTACTTAACGAAGAGCCTGCTAAGGTTATTGTCAATGGATATATTACAGAGGTTTCTTTGTCAGTCTGTCATACTGCCAACCCACAGGAAGTCATAGGGGCAGGCACCTGGCTAGAGCTGGACTATCCAATTATTTAAGTAACCAATTGCTCGATCAATTAATGGTTCGATTACTGAACTAATCGACAACACACAAAAAATGTTGGGAAAAAAAAATCCTCACCTCCTTTCCCACGTGTGCT